TTCATTTAAAATGTAAAAAAAGAAATTTTTGTCAATTTTAACGATGTAACCCTTATAAAAATTTGAAAAAACTGTCAAAAATGTATAATTTTTCCTACATGCCTAGAAAGATTCGCCTGTTGATGCTGTTCTAGAATATATATGATTTATAGGTCGGAGTCATTCACTGTTTTGCAAGCTTCTAACTAAAATTATAATACCATAAAAAGGTGTTGTAAATAAAATGGAAATCAATTTAACTTTGCATTTTGCAACTTGTTTTATGTATGTATTATATTTTTAATTTATTTATGAATATTTCAAAAGATTTATTTTAATTTTATACATTATTAAACATATTTTTAAATGATTAATATCTACTGCTCATAGTTACTTAATATTCATAGAAACTAACGGATCATAGTTCATTAATGGTCGTATTAATTACTGATCATAGTTCTATAAATCGACCAATTGTTCATATGTTAGCTATATATATTTGTATATATATAGTCCACCGATTGCCATGCTCCGACTTATTACTAGTAAAATTATATAGAATAAAAGTCAATAGTTTAATTCAAATAGCTTAATTTGTTCCAAAACAAATCTCACACATATATGCTTATGATTCTCAACTGGTTTTAACATCCCCGGAACGAAGTGACTTCTACCGGCGAGTCTCCGATATGTGTTGTGTTACAAAAGTTGCAAGTCATTGTTTATTAGTGTTCAAAGTTCGTAACTGATCATACATCCTTACTGGTCTTAGATACTTACTGGTCATAGATACTTGCTGCTCATTGATACTTACTGATCAGAGTTACTTAACGTTTATTGATACTTGCTGATCATAGTTAATCACTGGTCATAAATACTTACTGTTCAGACTTATTTACTGGTCATAGATACTTACTGTTCAGAGTTAATTACTGGTCATAGTTACTTACTGTTCATAGCTTATCTTCATATCATATGATTCCCAACTTGTTCTGGCATCCCCGGAACGAAGTGTCTTTGCCGGCCAGGTCTCAGAAATGTGTTGTGTTACAAAAGTTGCAAGTCATTGTTTATTAGTGTTCAAAGTTAGTAACAGATCATACATCTTTACTGGTCTTAGATACTTACTGGTCATAGATACTTGCTGCTCATTGATACTTACTGATCAGAGTTACTTAACGTTTATTGATACTTGCTGATCATAGTTAATCACTGGTCATAAATACTTACTGTTCAGACTTATTTACTGGTCATAGATACTTACTGTTCATAGCTTATCTTCAGATCATATGATTCCCAACTTGTTCAAGCATCCCCGGAACGAAGTGTCTTCTGCCGGCCATGTCTCAAAATGTGTTGTGTTACAAAGTTGCAAGTCATTGTTTATTAGTGTTCAAAGTTAGTAACTGATCATACATCTTACTGGTCTTAGATACTTACTGTTCAGAGTTACTTGCTGCTCATAGATACTTACTGATCACAGTTACTTAACGTTCATTGATACTTGCTGATCATAGTTAATCACTGGTCATAAATACTTACAGTTCAGAGTTAATTACTGGTATAGATACTTACTGTTCATAGCTTACATCAGATCATATGATTCCCAACTTGTTCTAGCATCCCCGGAACGAAGTGTCTTCTGCCGGCCAAGTCTCAGAAATGTGTTGTTACAAAGTTGCAAGTCATTGTTTATTAGTGTTCAAAGTTAGTAACTGATCATACATACTTACTGGTCATAGATACTTACTGGTCATAGATGCTTACTGTTCAGAGTAACTTGCTGCTCATAGATACTTACTGATCAGAGTTACTTAACGTTCATTGATACTTACTGATCATAGTTAATTACTGGTCATAAATACTTAGTGTTCAGAGTTAATTACTGGTAATAGATACTTACTGTTCATAGCTTATCTTCAGATCATATGATTCCCAACTTGTTCTAGCATCCCCAGAACGAAGTGTCTTTTGCCGGGCAAGTCTCAGAAATTTATTGTGCTTAAAGTTGCAAGTCATTTTTTATTTGTGTTCAAAGTTAGTAACTGATCATACATACTTACAAGTCATAGATGCTTACTGGTCATAGATGCTTACTGTTCAGAGTAACTTGCTGCTCATAGATACTTACTGATCAGAGTTACTTAACGTTCATTGATACTTGCTGATCATAATTAATTACTGGTCATAAATACTTACTGTTCAGATTTAATTACTGGTCATAGATACTTACTGTTCATAGCTTATCTTCATATCATATGATTCCCAACTTGATCTAGCATCCCCGGAACGAAGTGTCTTTTGCCGGGCAAGTCTCAGAAATTTATTGTGCTTTAAAGTTGCAAGTCATTTTTATTTGTGTTCAAAGTTAGTAACTGATCATACATACTTACAAGTCATAGATACTTGCTGTTCAGAGTTACGTACTGTTCAGAGTTACTTGCTGCTCATAGATTTTCATAAAACGAAAAACGATATTCTTTAATAATAAAGGATAGCTTTGAATCAAATTAGATTAAAATATGTTACAAACTGTAAAAGTTATTATAATTTTTCTAAAAAAGTTAGAAACTGATCATACATTCTTACTGGTCATAGATAATTGCTGTTTAGAGTTACTTACTGCTTTCATTTTCTTAAATTTGAAATTGAGTATGCAGACGTCTAATATCTATACAGTTTTTTCGACATAAATCAAATGGACTTTTTGCGCCATCTATTGTAATTTTTGCGAAGTGGTATCGCCGACAAAATCTTTTGTATAAACCTATAAGTATGCTATGAAAAGATACGTAGAAATGAACATTTTACTTATGTAAAATACTGTAGAAAGAATAGCATCAAGGGCTGTTCAGATAAAACTCTATATAATTATTTTTACTTATTCAAACTAAAAAATAAATAGTTTTTGAACTAAGCAATTTTTGTAGGGGGACTTAAGCTAGTTGAGTTGCAAATTAGCATTGCCAGAGGCCGCCTCGGCAGGCAAAAAAAACGGTGTCGAATTTGTTTTCAATTTTTATTATCTAAAAATTTTATATTCATTTTTCTCAATTTCTCTATAATAATTTTTATAGAAAAATTTATTAAATACCCCACCTCCCCATATTTATAGTGATGTTTCCTTATTAAAATTAAAACATAAATTTAATATTGTAGATAGAGTTTATTAATCGAGATTTTTGTTTTACATACATAGTACAACTTAACATAATAATATAATAATAATACTATAATAATTGTAAATTAATTTCTATAAGTAATAAGCTATCTTTTATATCTATAATCCTTAAATTCTAATCTTCATCATATTGACAAATAAAATTCCTTTTAATGGAGCCATTTTCCACTCTCATGCCACCGTTAAACAAGTTAACATACCGCTGACTATCGTCATCATAAATGGGTTCACCCGGAAGCCACCTGAAGAAGGTGACCCTTTCACCTGAGGTTTCCGATTTAAATTCACCTTTCTTTACATGATCGTTGATATCCACCCAATATACATGATCCGGATTGATTTCTCCCTTAATGGCTGAAATTCCTGATTGTTTTGAAAGGACGCCAGGTGACCACCCATTTGGCGACAGGATTGGGCAGCAGATGTCCAGTTTTGTGTCACATTATCTTCGATATAGTAGAATTTTAAGCCGATTGCTTTAAATCTGTGACGTGCCTCGATTTTGGACAGTATTTTCGACATTTTTGTGAGTTGGAATTGGATGTCCTTTTGTGAAGCTATTTGTTCCTTAATATTGACCAGACTTTGCTCGATGGCTTGAGGGATGAGTTTCTTGATAGTATTCAGCCGGATATTCATCATTTTCTGAATCTGCTGATATTCCTTATTTTTCTTGTTAATTTTATTCTGAATTTTATCCTTTCATGAAGTATTTCTGCCGGCTGTCGATCTTGACTAACCAATCTTGAAGGACTTTAGTCGTATTTAGTTGGTCTTCTTTCTTATTCTGAAAATCCTTTAATTGGCTCTTAATCTTTTCTTCATATTCATTAATTTGTTGAAATTCTTCTGCTGCAGGTCGCCATAAAATGGCAATAACATTTTGAAACAAATTCACCGCATTTAATGGATTTATTATTAAAATGCACATGGAACGTGTACTATTCTGAGATTTTGTCAAGATCCAAAATGATTTAATGCTATTATTGCACAAAATAAACAAATAATTAATTTACACATTTTATTTATCGGAGGAAAAGTATCTACACCTAGGGGAATTGGTTTTGAATGAATAAACCTCCGCTTGAGGATTGTCTCCTGTCTTTATAGCATTTTTTAGGGTGTCCTTATCTAGACTACTGCACTTCCTTTAGCAACAGACAAAGACAGGTAAAATAGTTTTTAGGAAATACCTGTAATTCAACCAGTTTTTCCTTATCACTTTATTAGTCATAGACTGGATATTTTCCATTGGTCAATTTTTTTGGGAAATATCTAAGTTTAAAAAGATCACAACTAAGCCAAAAATGCCTTAATTTCAATTCGGAAAGCTTTTCTGTGTTAGTTTTTATTAGGTTAACAAATCTGCATACTGACTTTTATAATTTAAGAAATTCGATTTTTTGTCAAAATTTGACATTTTTAATGATGTAACCCCTTATAAAATTTTCAAAAAATTACAAAAAAAAATTTTTTTTCTAACTTGGCTAGAAAGATTCGCCTGTTGATGCTGATCAAGAATATATATGATTTATAGGGTCGGAAATGACTCCTTCATTGTTTTTCAAGCTTCTGATTAATATTATAGCACTCTAAAAATGTGTAAAAATATATAAAAAATGTAGAAAATTTCCCATTTTATAAAATTTTAAAAATTCTCATTGATTTGTTGCTAAACAAATTTGTAATTTAAAATAGTTATAAACTCCCCCCAATGCAAGTATATCGATATATCGATTGCTATTGCATTTCCAGTTGGAGGAACTTTCCATGGCAAGAAGAAGCCGAACAAGTGCAGTAATCCAAGCCAATCAGAAACCACACAAGCAATCAACTCATATTAGCTCATAATGATCTCGTTATTATCATTAACAATGGACGATAAGGTTATCAACAGAACAATCGGTCAAGGGAAGCCCCCCTTGAGTTGGGTAACAAAATTCATGCTTCAGTTCATTTGGTGGAAAACAACAGAACGATGAAAACGTTTCTACGTAGTGAAGTGTTCTTTGTGTTAGCATTTCTCGCGGGGATTCCTCACCCAATTCTGGCTGGTAATGTTCTGGCCGTTTATCCGCACTTTGGCTTTAGCCACTTCAAAGTGGTGATGCCCATCCTCAATGAGCTGGCGAGGCGTGGTCATCGGGTGACAGTGATCTCATATGTGAAGAATGTTGAAGGGAAAACCCTACCCAACTACGAGGAGCTGCTGATCTCGGCTGCTGAGAGGATCAGTCGAGTACGACCATTAATTTGGTTCCACTGACGGAAATACGCCCACAAGATCTCTTGGAGTTCTCTTAGGGAATACCTAGCCCTTCATGAGGAGGGTCAGGAGACTTGTGAGCATCTCTTTGGCAGCGGTCACATTGAAACTGTGCTCCAGAGACACCAAAGCAAACCCTATGATCTGCTACTCACTGAATATTTCAATTCGGATTGCCAACTGGTCTTGGCCAAGTTAATGAATCTGCCAATTATCGGGTTGAGTACGTGTGCTCTGATGCCCTACTATTACGATCGCATTGATCTGCCGGATACACCCTCGTTCATTCAATCGGAATTTGTGGGCTTTGCCGGCAGTCTTAAGTGGCATGAACGCCTGCTAAACTTTGTTCAAGCCAAGATGCTAAAGTATCTGTACAAATATCACTCGAATCCGGCGGATAACGAAGTTATTCGAAGGTATCTCGGAGTGGAAATCGACGTAGAGGAAGTGGCTCGCAAGCAGACTGCATTTATATTTGGAAATCAACATTATTCCCTAATGGGCAGTCGTCCTCAGTCATTGCAATTTGTGGAAATTGGTGGAGTTCACATAACACAAAAGGCGGAAAAGCAATTACCGGAAGAAATCACTAGGTTCCTTAATCAATCAGAAAAGGGTGTAATCTTCATAAGCTGGGGCTCCATGGTCCGTGCCTCTAGCATTGATAATGAGAAACTGGCAGCCATGTTGCAGGTTCTACAAGGATTACCCTTGAGGATCATATGGAAATGGGAAGAGGATGAGAAGGTGAAGACACCCAAAGTGGATTCCTCGAAATTTCTATTTGTAAATGGGCACCACAGTTGGCTTTACTTTGTGAGTGTTACAAAAAACCTAATCTTGGATTATTCCGGTTTTTCATTAGCTGGAAAACCGGTTAAGGGTCTGCATTTACATATCTACTCAATCACCCTTTTAGGTCACCCCAAAGTCAAGTTATTTTGGACCCATGGCGGTCTCTTGGGCACTACGGAATCCGTACACTGTGGCAAACCCATGCTTGTTACTCCCATTTATGGCGATCAATTCTTAAATGCATTTTCTGTGCAAAATCGAGGAATGGGTCTTAAGTTGGACTATGAGGAGATGAATGTTGATAACCTAAAGCAAGCTTTTAATGAGCTTAGCAAAGTCAGGTATAATTATAATAATTATATAGTTACAAAAAGCTTTAAATACAATATTTCCCTTGCAGTTACACTGAGAATTCTATACAAATCTCAAAAGTTTTCAATCAACGACAGCAAACGCCTTTAGAATTGGCCGTTTGGTCAGTGGAACATGTCATACAACATGGCTTTGTGGCCAGTAAGCTACTGCAATCTCCAGGAATTGAGCTAAATGGTTTTATCTATCACTCTTTGGATAGTATACTCTTGATATTGCTTTCCCTTACTCTCCTAATCCTACTTTTAAGCTACTTTTGTTGTAAAAAGAACAAACCAAAGCAGCTAAGAAAGAAATCAAAGACATCTTAGCAAAATTGATGTTAAAAATATAAATATATGCATTAAGTTAATAGTTAAATTAAGAATTTGTATAGATTTTCCTTCAATCAATAGCGTAGACGCTGCATACAGTCACGTCGACACTCCTCGTAGGTCAGAAAATTGTTCTCAGTGGAGGCACAGCCGGTGTAGTAGAAGCTCTCACAGTTTCCAGTGTCCTTGTTAAAGGCATAACGCAATTGACGTCCTCGGCAGAGGCCAGGTGCCTTGGGTTGTTTACAAGCTGCAAAAATTAATTATTTGAATTATTTTGTTTATAAAAAAATATATTATCTCAAGAAAGAACAGTTATTTAGTAAGCTGGGATGGATTTTAGAAATGCTCACCGTTTTTTTAACCAAATAAAAATATAATACCTTAGCAGGGTATTCTAATTTTAATTAAAAGCTTGCAAAACAGTGAAGGAGTAATTTTCGACTCCATAAATCATATATATTCTTGATCACCATTAAAAACTGAGTCGATCTAGCCATGTCCGGTTAAAAGAAAATGTTTTGAAAATTTTCCAAAATTTTATAAGGGATTACATCGTTAAAATTTTAAAAAATGTACAAAAATGTTGATTTTTTTTAATATTAAATTTAGTATGCAGATTTGTTAACCATCTAAAAACTAACACAGAAGTGATTTCCGAATTAAAATTGATGCCCTTTTGGCTTAGCTATGAGATTTTTAAGAATTGATTTGTTGAAAAATTTGGTATAAAAATATACATTACATCGTTAAAATTATCAAAATATTATAAAAATCGTTTTCCGAATTGAAATTAATGTGTTATTGGCTAAGTTATGATATATTTTACATTCAATTGCAAACTGCAAGGGAATACCAACTTTGGCTTCCTAAAACTAGCTTCGTTTTTTGTTTAAAAATGTAAACACTATTCTGTTCCACTTTTATTTGGTTTATCTTATTAGTACTCACCGACTACCTCTTCAATCTGTCCTCTTGTATGATTCTCCAAGCTCGGAAGAGCCATCGAGAGGCTAACCAACAAAATCAAAAGCAGCCATAGTTTCATCCAGCTCCGTATTGAATGCATTTTGAATACATTCATTAAAATATAAATTGAAAACTGTATTCCAAATAGTATTCTGCTGTAATTTTAGAGCTTCAATTTTCCGTTTGTTCCGATCTGCACAAGCTTCGTCGACAGAATGTTCTGATTTTAATGTGTTCTGCACTTTGACAGATTCTTCTCAGCTTTCTCCGGTTGCTGCGATTCGTTTTTTTCTTCCGTTCTGAGCACGTAGCTAAGTTTACGTTTTCGTTTTCATTTTAAGCCAAATTCATTTTCATTTTAGCGTCTCTTTTCGGTCTTGTTGCATATTTTCCACTGCACTCTCTGTCCGGGCGAGTGAAAACGTGTTCCGCAGAGAGAAGTACCGATGCAGGAAGTACCTTGGCTAGGGTCGCTTTTGAGTGGGTTTTTTGTTTAACAAAAGTGTGAACACATATTGTTTATAACATTTAGTACTTAAATAAATTACCCTTCTGTTAGCGTATGTCGTAATAAGGCATATTCCTTATCAGTAACACCTAAAACTAAAAGGAGTTTTGTAAATTGAATAATTCTAGTTGAGATAACCATAAATACTCATCGCATAAATTTGTTTATTCAATTTCTAACTGGTTTTTACTTAAAAAGACAATTAAAAAGGCATATTATTCGTACAAATAATAGAAAATGACACGCTAAGACTAATGAAAGATAGAAGAGAGGCTAGATAGGAGCTTTAACAAATGTTTTTTGGGGTTTTATGACAGACAATCTGCGGTCAGATGTTGCTTTAAAAAATGTTCTTACAGACTATAAGGCAACCGTGATAACAATGATTCCTAATAATTATGTTAATAATATTTAATAGATACGAATAGAAAGAATTTTATACAATGCACATGGCTAACAGAGGACCTACTTACAAGTTATATCAATTCCTTTCTCCTCTTCCTCTTCATTACAAAATAATAGTTATAAACTCGTTAATAAATTCATTGCGTTGCACATCATCATGGGGGATAACATCACGGAGACGTATACATATATATGTCTAAAATCTAAAAAGGGCCAAGACGATGGTTTATGTTTAAGCCCTTGGCCTTGCGACTGCTACTTTCTGTTTTTTTTTGTGGGCAGCTTTTTCTGGGTTTCCGAGCTGCTGACTGTTGCTATTGGCTTTGGCGTACATATATGGCGCACTTAAGATCAATTTCTCCTCATTTAATGCTTGTAGCAGAAGCCTTTTAGAGAGCATCGTCTGGGAGGATTACCCTCTAGAAGTCCTTGTCCCAACCAGTGACATCATCTGGCGGCGGACCCTCAGGATCGGGGGGATAGTCGTCAAAGTTGCCCGTATCCACTACGCTCTTAACCGAGGGCTTTATGGGTGGTTCCAGGGTACAATTTTGCAGGCCCCACCAATAGAAGCCATCGAACCATCTAAAAAATACGAATTAATACCTACATAATGCAGATTTTAAAGGTTTTATATCTTACTTGTGCTTCTGGATCTCGCTAATGCCGCCACGTTGGTAGCCCAAACGCTCGGCGGGATTATCGCGACACAGCTTCTTGATCAGGTTGCTGGCATTCCGTGTGATATTCCTGGGGAATTCAATGGCATCGATGCCCTTAAGTATAATGTTGTAGGTGCGCATGGGATCCGAGCCGGTGAAGGGTGGGGTTCCTGAAAGAATACGAATATTTATTTAAAATTTAGTTCAAGCTTAGTCTCCTGTTACTCACCCGTCAGTAGCTCAAACATGAGCACTCCCAGTGACCAGTAATCCGCACTGATGTCATGACCCCGATTCAATATCACCTCCGGAGCCACATACTCTGGTGTTCCGCAGAATGTCCACGTCTTTCGGCCAGTCTGCAGTTTCTTGGCAAAGCCAAAGTCCACGAGCTTCACATACCCGCGTTCATTGAGCAACAGATTCTCTGGCTTCAGATCCCGATAGATTATATTCCGCGAATGCAGATAATCAAAGGCTTCCACCACGCAGGCGGTGTAGAACCGGGTGGTGCCATCATCAAAGTTACCCTTATCCCTCAGTATCGTCCAGAGTTCACCACCCAGACAGCTCTCCATGAGCATGTATAGGTACTTCTTGTCCTTGAAGGTCTTGAAGAGCTTCACAATAAACTGGCAATTGGCCTCGCCCATGATCTCCTTCTCGGACATGATGTGCTGCTGCTGTCGTGTCTCCACAATCTGGGATTTCTTCATTTGCTTCAGGGCAAAGGAGCGGGAGCTGTCGCCATTGGTTTGGACCAGCTCCACGCGGCCAAAGCCACCGACACCAAGGGTGGCAATCACACGTAGATCGGTAAGGTTAATGTCACGGAATTCCTCATTGATCCTATAACGATAAAATTGGTTATTAATAAATAATTTCCGTGACATTTTCAAGCAAAAAATTTTCTTGAAAGAAAAGCTAATGCGATGTGTTATCAGTGTTGTAAATGATTTAGGGTTGTCTAGGGGGTTTCAGGGTTTTTAATGATTGCTTAGGGTTGCTTCAATTCCCCAAAGCTGCATTTAATTATATATTTTTTAAAATTTCCCACTTACTTTCTGCGCTCCATGGCGCCTTCGTCGTCATAGCGATGCTTGATCTCATCCAGATTAGAAATCAACTGATTGAAGGTCTCGCGATCAATGACCAGACAGCTGACGCCATCAGCGGATTCGCAAATAATATTAGCCGTTCGCAAATCGTCGCTATAAAAATATATATACCAATAATTAGCAGGGAAATTAATTAATTAATAACATTTAATAACTCACCCCTGCAGGGCTTTCTCTCCAAAGAAATCACCCTTGCCCAGCATGCGAATGAATTTCTCCTCCTGGGTGTCCTGCTGCTTGATCGTAACCCGCACTTTGCCCTTTGAAATGATGAAGAAGGTATCGCCTCGGGCTCCCTGGCGAACTATATAATCACCGCGCTGATAATGCGTCTCCTCCAAGACATCAGAGATCTTGATGAGCGTGTCATCCGCCAGGTCTTTGAAGATGGGAACACTGGTGGAAAGAAAATCAACCAAAAATTGTTAGTTACCAGGCGATATTAATCTCTTTTCCGTAGCAACAAGCTAAAGAAAGTGCTGGAGAAGTTTCGATCTAGATAGGAGAATTCCAGGCTAGTGGGACTGGAATCTAATGGCTAGCTAGCTGAGTGACCCACATTCATAGTTCGAACACCTCCATTCTAGCCCCTCGAGCTACACACATGTATCTACAAGATGCAGCTGCAATATCTAGTATCCCAATCTAAATCTTGATGATGATGATTGCACTTTCATTTTCTATGAACTGTTTTTCCGCTTTTCCGCCACTTTTCGTATCTGGAATGGGCAACGAGTGCAAGGCCTCAATCATGGTTTATTTCTTTTCCTTTTTTTATTATTATTATTTAGCAGTTTTTTTACGGGCGACCAATTAAATGCGATTAATTTGCCGGTCACTCTACAAGTTGGTAAAGGAAGGGAACTGGACTTGAAACTGACTGACTGGATGTGGAAGTTGTGGCAACAAACTGGTTGCCAAGTTTGAAAAGAAAATTTCTATGCGTTCGTTGGCCGCTGTTTTTTGGTTTTGGTGTTTGAAGTTTCGACTCAAGTGAGTTTTCAAGATTGCAAGATTGAGTTTGAGGCATTGCACGTCATACGAATGGACGCCCATGACCATGACGACGATATGCCGATGATGACTATGATGTTGCACCTGAAGAGCCGTCTCTTTTTGCCCATTTGCTGGGAGAAAGTTACTTTACTTTTCTTTACTTCAAACAAAACTATAAAAAAAAAAACCTTGCTTGCACGATTTAAAACACAAATCCTTAAGCAAAACGATTTTTACATTTTTGCCAATAGGAGTAATGGCCAAACATGGACTACTCAGTATGCCTGTATTGATATAATTAAGTGCAAATGAACATTAATTACGCCCAAATGGCAAATAACCAGTCGGCCGCGCACCAAATCACCAATTCCCCAGCAGCGCAAAAGTCTCATTAAAATTCACATTAAATGTGCAAAGATTGTCGAAGATTGGGATAGGAAGTCTGAGAGTCTGGAGGGGTACCCACCTCTTGAGGAAGTCAGTGTACTCCGCCTGGCGGATCAGGCCCGTTCGCATCATGATGGTCTGGAAGCATTGCCGCTCGATGGCCCACAGGTTGCATTCGGTGATGGCTGTAATGGTCGCCGTTCGCTGGCAGTTGTACAAGATGGCCAATTCGCCCAGGACCTTGGCACCCGAAAGGGTCGAAAGGTATTTGCCCTCGCGGGATACCTCAACGCGGCCATCTGGAAGAGGGAGAGAAAGAAAAGGGTTAAATTAGTAGGATTAATATGGATATATAAAGAACTATCCCCAAGATTAATCTAGCTAATCATTAAACCTAAATTTGCTTCAAATTCATCATTAGTTCCTTTGCTTATCAAGAAATTTAAAAGGATCTCTTCTTAAAAGCTTCTCAAAAGATTTCAAAGAAGGTTTCTTCATCAGTTTCTCCATCTCCTATTCAACCCTTACCCTTATCCGCTTCCTCTTCCTCCTGCCCCCCACTGGACTGCTCCTTGAGATTCCCGGTACGACGACGTCGTGCATATGTATGCACGGGAACGATGAGGCGAGGACGTGGAATGCAAAAGCCACCATTCTCGCCATTGAGATCCTTTGAGCTGCCATTGCTGCTGGCAGCGGGCGAGAGGCGTTCCATGAGAGGACTCTTTTGGCGAATATCCTTTGCCTCCTGCTCCTCCACCTTGAGTCCCTTCAGAGCCTGCTCTAGGCTATGCCGTCGCAGCGATGTTATAGACTCCCTAGGTTGAGCTACGCTTCTGCTAAACGAAGTTGATTGTCCATTGGGCAACCGAATGGTGGCATATCTCTGCACAGAGGTCTGGGAGCGGGTTAGGGGCTTCGATACCACCCTCCTGGGTGGCTCTGGTGGCGGTTCCCTGGGCGGGGGTGGTGACATCAATCTCTGCGGCTGCTGACAGATTACAATCTGTTCGTGATCCTGATCATCGGCTGCAGAGGAGAATGTAGAGTATGTTGCAGAGGAACCACTGTGGCTGAGATTTTTCTGTGATTTATGAAAGGCCTTCGAGGGTGATGTCCTCAAGGTGGCATAACTGGGTGGCTGTTGCATCATCATGGTCTGAGAGCGACGCAGGGAGGGAGGCTTCACCGAAAGCTGTTGCCGGGGACGTGGAAGACGGGCTCTTTCCGTGGGGTCCAAAACGTAGTGATTGACTGCGGGTGTCGTCTCTTGGGGCTTCTTTTTCTCCTCATCCGGTTGGGCTTTGATCTTCTGATGATGATGATGATGATCTTGCTCCTCGGCGACCCAACCATTGTGCTGTTGATGATGCTGCACGGGTGATGGCCTGTAACCATTTAGCTCCTTTATGGTGCTCACTATGCATTTATCCCGCGATTGCTGGGATTGCTGTTCCAACTGCCGGATATTCTCCAAGGCTATCTGGTATTTGCTCAGGGCAGAGATCCCATCGAGGAGGAAACTGCTCCCACTCCCCGCCGAGCTGCTCTGCCGGCTTACCTTCGAGGGGGATCTGTTGAGGGTTGGGTATGTGGATTGGGGCTGCACCTGGGGCAGGGTCTGCGCCTGGGTCTGACTGGCAGCCCTTAGCCAGTTGGCCTCGTACAGTGCCCCCATGGCATTGCTGCCTTCCAGCGAAAGACTCGCGTCGACAGCTTTGCCTGGATAATGTTTAATTTTCATTACGAAACACTATAGGCGGCGGGTTTTCTTTTGGACTTTGTGTCGGTTTTATGCTTTTGTTGTTTTTGAACAAATTTCACTTGACCAGCGGCAGCGGCCAGCAGACGTGCTTTGTTTTCACGTTTGTCTTGGCTCCTCGGTTTAGTTTATGTTTTTGTGTCTTGTGTTTGGGCGTCTTCTTTCAGTTTTTTGCATAACTCTCGGGGAAGCTTTTTGAAATTTCGCGCACGGAATATTTGAAGAGTCACAGAGAAACACAGAGAAGGCGATGGTTCGATGGTTAAAAGGCCTGTAAAGCGGGTAACAATTTGTATTTTGTATTTTTTTATTTATTTATTGTTATTGCAAAATCTTTTTTTTTCCTTGATGGCTGTTGTTGCTGTTTAAGTCGCTGATCGCTGTTTATTTATATGTCGTAAACTTTCCATGTTTTTTTTTTTCTTAGCGGCTTGCCACACGTTTTGTGCATTGATTGTTTGTTTATGGTTAGTTGATCCTACCAAACTTTGACAAAGCTGTACAGTACAGTGGTGAGCAAAATAATAGCAGTCATTGAACTAATAAATGATTGTCATATGTAATGTATGTACCAAAACCCCCAAACATCAAATATTTACAAAAATAATTAAAAAATCAAGCGAAAATTATTTAAAAAACAGAGCTGTCGAAGGGAATTCGAAATATTTATAACTTTTGGCATTCGTTGGTTTTTTGGCCTTTGTATACCAGCAAAAAACCTCAAAATATGTGAATTTTTGGTGCATTAATTCGTTATTCAAATATTCAAATTTGGATAAATCAAAGATTTTGAAGTATCAAAACTAAGCCAAAAATTCATTAATTTCAATTTGGAAAGGATTTCTGTGCTAGTTTTTATAGGGCTAACAAATCTGCATACTTAATATTATAATTTAAAAAATTCGATTTTTTGTCAAATTTTGAAAATTTTAACGATGTAACCCCTTATAAAATTTTGAAATTTTGGAAAATTTTCAAAAATGTTGTTTTTTATCCGGACATGGATAGATCGATCCAGTTTTTATTGCTGATTACGAATATATATGGTTTATAGGGTTGGAAATTATTTTTTAACTGGGTTTCTTTATTTCTGCTTTGCTTACACATTGCAGAAGAAGCATTTAGATTGCAGCTAAGAAGAAATCTTCTTTTACAAACCCTGCCAAAAACGAGTTCTAGAGAAACCGTATTTATTATTTCTATATACATTTTTGAAAATACTAGCTGTTTTCGTAGAACTCCTATCATTTTATCCCCAATTGTGCTGACAAAATGACAACAATCTCCACCGGATTTTGGGGAATTACGCAGAAAAAAACTTGATTTCTTGCAATAACGCCACAAGAGCAATTTAGCTTAAGTTGCAAATTAATTTCGGGCAATTGTTCGTTAGCAGCGTGAGAATGAGTGAGTCGCGATTTACTTTTCGACATGAAACCTCAACTTTTAACTGCCAGCTGCCAACTGCATCGAAAACTTAATCATCATTCACAAATTAGCTAATAATTGTGAATGAAAGTGGAGAAGAGAGGTGACAATTGGCGATATTGCCACAAGGTAAACATTAAATAAATAAAGGCGTTCCCCACAGACAGAGTGACGTAGTCGCGAGATATTAATGCATAAAATCAAAAAAAAATAAACACTGTGACCATCGGTGCCTGGGCTCGAAAAAATGGAGCGTGACTCTGAATGGAAAGGGAATTGATGTTGATGTTAACTCCCAGGGATGTTTTGTAACGATTTGTGGATCAATTTACGCTAATTGATGGAGCAAACTGACGCAAATGAGCTCTTGACAGACGTTGAACTATATGAGAATCCATTGTGAGTCATGAACTATTATGGGAGATCTGTGGGCGATCCATCAAAAATATTTATTAAGAGGGATGCAAATTTCAGTCAGTATTTACCAATTATTTTAGGAGACGCTTCACTAAAAAGGAATATATTATAGGTTTTACCAAGGAAACTAAATAAAGTTGGGTATTTAAGGGTGTGTTTAGTAAATAGAAGATACCAAATTGGTAGTAAATCTTTAATATATAAACAAGCAGAGAAAATGTCATAATGGTTATTGCAAACACTGGAAATTCCCCTGGCTTCTCAAGTGGAAAAGTATCTTTAAGATAATACAGCTGACAAAGATATTCTTTAGGTAAATAAATAAAATAAAATTCTGGGAGATTTCCTCTCATTTTAATAGTAAAACAAACGTTGATAGTTATAGGTATTAAAATAGAAATCTAAATAGTAAAATGTGCTAAGAGTATCATAAATATTTATACCTTAAACATGTCTGGGGAAAATACCCGATAAAAGTATCTCAATAATAAAACTGAATACCCACAAACAATCGATTGTTATTAAACGTTCATGTTGTGTTCACGTAAATCAAACAAATTGAGTTTTTATTTTCCCACAGAAACTAATTGTTATTGACGGGCGAGGATGCTTTCAAGTAACAAATTCCTCAATTTGCTATCTGCCTATTTACGATCTGTTATCTGCAATCCAATTGAACACGCTCAATTGTCGCATAAACAGTGAGTGAACAAACAACACAAACAACAACACCAACTACAAAACAACAAATTACGAACTGTGATCACAAAATACCCAAACAATGATCACCTTCACAGGGCCATTAACATGATCAATCGCAGAGTAAACAAAGACCGAAATACACATTGGTGTTGTTGAACTATTCTCGTAACTAATAGCAAATAAATTACCTGGTCTCCAGGTATTCATTTGCGTAAAACGAATGAACTTCCTAGGAAAAGGGGGAGAGATAAATCGAAACAGAGAGAGCGAGGGAAAACCGAGAAACCCGAGAAGCTCTTATCACTACGTGGTTTTTCGAGAACAACTCGTGCCTTGGGGCATTTACACTGATAAGAAACCCGGCACTGATTGCCTGCCTGCCTGTCCGAAAAAATCAGACAACAATTTCTGTAGAGTATTTTTCCGAAAATGAATGGTGAGTTTTTTCCAGTCTTTTTGGGGTTCAACGAGTTCATCGTGGGTCGAGGTTCGACTCGTTTGCTTGGCGGCTTTTTAAAAATGCGGAAATCCGTCAAGCCCAGCTGAGCAGCCAAACAAAAAACAAAAACAAAAAAAGAGAAATAATATATGAATGTGTACAAATTGAAACTGCAGACATTTTTCGCAATGACCAAGAGTCTAACTGGCTTCGGGCCATAATGGATGAATGTTGCGAGAGTGGCAAGGTCAGCCACTGTCTGTGGAATCGCCGATTTGAATACAATCGCCGGGAAACGAGAATATCCGCTAAACAAAAAATAAAACAACTTTACTTTTGCACCGAGGAAAAAACCATAACAATAACACACTGATAATGGGCAACACTTATCAATTTATTAACCATGAATTAAGGTTAATCGTAGGAAGTAAATAAAATCGATTCTCGTGGGAACTCTCAATAGGAACTCTACAACTCAAAAAATGAATAAAAGTTACTCAACATTTTAATTATTTTTCGCCAAGTCCATTTTAGCTTTTTTGCCTTTTGGG